ACAACAATATGTTATATTATATTTATATTGTTGAATACAACATTATAACATAGATGTAATATAACTTGCTTGGTGTTGACAGGAATTCCAAATGAAATATGTACATCCAACTTTTTTAGATCCTACAATTAATCTTTTTAGAAAAGTTAATGGAACTATAACGCATAGTGAACGCAACCACATATAAAAAATATTATATTTTACTATAATTATGAGTAATGTTTATTATTATTTTCTACATTGCGTCGTACTTTTATTTATGTTCAAGTAATTATATTTTATACTATATTTTAACTATATTTTATAGTATAATTCATGGAAAAAAAATTTATTTTATAAAAATAGAAAGAAAATTTCTATTATAGTTATGACGACTATAAATCTGCGTTCACTCTGCTATATCTTGTATGTTTAAATTAAATCAATTATAAATATATATTTATTATAATTAATTTAAACATGCAAAATATAGCAGAGTGAACGCAGATTTATAGTCGTCATAACTATAATAGAAATTAGCACAACCATATGAAATGGTTATAATAAATTTTCTTTTCATGAATTATAGTACAAAATATAGTTAAAATATAGTATAAAATATAGTTACTGAAATACAAATAAAAGTACGGCGCAATGTAGAAAATATTAATAAACATTACTCATAATTATAGTAAAATATAATATTTTTTATATATGATTGCGTTTACTATGTGTTATAGTTCCGTTAACTTTTCTAAAAAGATTAATTTTAGAATCTGAAAAGGTTGGATGTACATATTTCATTTGGAATTCCTGTCAACACCAAGCAAGTTATATTATATCTATGTTATAATTTCGTATTCAACAATGTAAATGTAATATAATACATTGTTGTTTATTATATTACATTGACATTATTGAGTGCAAAATTATAACATATATGTAATACACTTAATCTTCGGTATTAACTGGGGTAATTTAACAATGTTGATGTATGAAGAAACAATGTAAATTAATATAATACAAAATAATGTACAATGTTGTATTTTTTCATAGTACTTTGTTTTATTTTTATTACATTACTTTCTCTCTTAAATTATATAAAAGTAAAATTATAATTATACTTTTTCTCTTTAATTATGTTAACATAAATGTTTATTATGAAATGTTTACGACAAATTTTTCAAAAATATATTAATATTATTGCTATATATATTTAGATATACATTTGCACTGTTAGCAAATAAATGCTGGACAACC